CAGCGCCCGGCTCCTGCTGTGTTTTTGTTGTTTTTTTTTTTTTGTCGGTCGTGGGGCTTGAACTCTGGGCCTGGGCGCTGTCCTGCTGTGTTTTTATTGATTACTTTTAAGGTCCAGTCACGCTTCCTGCTGCCCAGGCATATATGCCTAGCCACAGTCTGCCTATGTTAGGCTTCCCAGATTAGTGAGGCACCACTCACCACCAGGCCCTGTACTTGGTTTAAAAGTAGTCGCGTAAACTTTTCTTGGGCTGGTCTTGAACCATTATCATCAATTTCATTCTCCAAATAGCTGGAATAGTTACAGACAGGAGCTACCATAACCCTGCTGTTTGGGATTCTTTTTGCTAGGGAGCAAACCTACCTAACCTACCTACCTATCTATCTATCTGCATTGTCATAACTTTTCCCATTCTAAAACATCAAACCTAGCTGGGTTCGATTGGCTCATGTAATACTAGCTAGTCAAGAGGCTGAGATTCAAGGATTGAAGTTTAAAGACATCCCAGTCAGGAAAGTCCAACCATTAAATCAGAAGTGGTGCTATGGTTCAAAAGTGATAACCAGGGGCTGGGAAGGTGGCTCAGTGGTAGAGCACTTGCCTTGCATGCTCGAGGCCCTGGGTTCGATTCCTTAGCACCACATAAGAAAAAAGCCGGAAGTGGCGCTGTGGTTCAAGTGGTAGAGCGCTAGCCTTGAGCTGAAGAGCTGAGGGACAGTGCCCAGGCCCAGAGTTCAGGCCCCACAACCGGACCCAAAAAAAAAAAAGTGATAACCTGCCTTGAGCAAAAGAACTCAGAGACAGTGACCATGCTCTGACTTTAAGCCCCATGATCACACCACCACTACCACCACCACCACCAACAATAAAAGCATTTTAATGAGGAACTATAATGCTTTAGTTCTTTTAGGTATAAGAGAGTACCATATCTCATTTTTTACCTGCTAAACATTGGTATCATGAAGGAGGAAGTTTTCTGTTGTGCTTCACAGCATCCTCTCTTACCACTGCTATCTTTGGATTTATTTTTTTGGGAAGTCACTTCATGTGTGCGTGTGTGCATGTATGGTCTTCATGTGTATGTACATACATGTACTATTACTCGTGCTTGAGCTTAGAGGTGAGCTCTCTGAGCTACAACTCCTTTTTGGGGTTTTGTTGGTTAAATCTCACTGACTTTGCTAGCCTTCTGACTTTGAACCACAGCCCTCAGATCTCAGATCTCCTGAGTAATGACAAATATAGGCATGATCCCCTAGCTTCTAGCCTGAAGTATGTCTTTTTTTTTCCCCCCGAAGTATGTCTTAATTGAAGTTGTGACCTGAAAATTAATGGTATCAGTAAGGGTATGGTAGTTTTGGAGCCACTCTAGGATAGAATGTGAGATTGAGTTTTCTTGTCTGAGGACTATATGGTCACTTAGGGTTTTCAAATTTTACATGGATTGTTTAATATGAATTTAGCGCTTTACCATAACATTTTAAATGTCTTTCTTCTTACTTATTAAAACTGACTTCAAATATATTTTTCTTAAAAAAGTATTCAAACCAGAGGAATTACGACAGGCTCTAATGCCAACATTAGAGGCACTTTACCGTCAGGACCCAGAATCTCTTCCCTTTCGTCAGCCTGTGGATCCTCAGCTTCTAGGAATTCCTGTAAGTACTTGCTGGTTTCTTTATTTTTGCTATAATTCTTTATTCAGCTTTATTTGTTTGAGCTGTAATTTATTTGAGCTATAATTGACGTATTATACAAGTTTTACCTAAGTATCTAATTCCCTGGGTTTTTGTATAGTCACACAGTTGTAGAATCATCACCATAGTTCACTGTTTTATAAGCCTCCAGAAGAAATGCCATATCTATTAAAACTTCTGCCTGTTCCTTCCAAACCATTCTACTCGTACTACTCTTCTTCCAACCATATGCATTCACTAGTCTGCTTTTGGATTCATGTGTTCTCTAGGCATATGAAATATGTTAGCATAACATTTTGTTTATTTCCAGCATGAGGGATCTCACCTAGGTCTTCATGAATTCTAAGGCTCGAGCAGTAGGATTAATTTTTTTTTTGTTCAGTTCATCCATATTTTGTTCTCTTCACTCTGTGACATCCTGCTTCAGCTTTTCTAGTAGTAGGATTAGAAGTACACTGCTACCCCTAACTAGTATCTAGAATAGTACTCCACTCCTTTTTTTGGTCTAATAATACTTCTTTTGGTGGATATGTTACATTTTCTTTATCCATTAATTAGTTGCTTTGTAGTTGGGTTGCGTCCACATTTTGGCTACGGAGGGTAATATGTTAGTGTTTCAACAATAGCTTACTCACCCTGGCTTGCTTGTTCAGCCGGCTGTCTGCCTTTTGAGTCACACCTCTATACCTGCTCCATGTTGGCGGTTATTTTGGATATTGAGTCCCACATTCTTCTGCCTAGTCTGGCTATGAAGCTTAGTCCTTCAGATGTCAACTTCCTGAATAGATAGGATTACAAACTTAGGTCCAATTGTTTTGTGTGGATATAGATTAATATTTCTCTCTGCAATGTGCTCAGTGGTAGAAGAGTATTGTGTGGCTTAATTTTTTTTTGTGTGTCTGTTGTGGGGCCTGGGCACTGTCCCTGAGTTCTTTTGCCCAACGCTAGTGCTCTACCATTTTGAGACACAGTGCCACTTCCAGTTTTCAGGTGGTTAATTGGAGTTAAGAGTCTCATGGACCTTCCTTCCTAGCCTGACTTTAAACAGCGATCCTCAGATCACTGTGGTGTGTGAGCCACCAGAACTTTACTCATATGGCCTCACTTCTTTTTTTGGTCCGTTGCGGGGCTTGAACTCTGGGCCTGGGCGCTGTCCCTCAGCTCTTCATCTCAAGGCGAGCACTCTACCACTTGAACCACAGCGTCACTTCCGGTTTTCTAGAGATAGGAGTCTCACAGTCTTTCCTGCCCGGGCTGGCTTTGAACTGCAATCCTCATATCTCAGCCTCCTGAGTAGTTAGGATTACAGGCATGAGCCACCGGCGCCTGGCTGTGGCCTCACTTTTTTATACCATTTTATTTTAATAACATCCTGACAGAAGTGTAGAGCCAACATGAAGGCTTCCTGCTGTGCCTTAAATTGATCTTATGTGAACTTTGGCACACAGCATCAGGGTTGATTCAGTGATCTGTTGACCTATTGTTCAGAGTTTATAGCAGCTTTATTCTTTGCTAACTGAGCCACTTTGTATATTTGTAGTCTAATGTAAAGCAGTCATGGAGACCTGGAGGATCACGGTTGGAAGCCTGGCCTAAATTGTTAGAATTAGATGAGGCCTACAATTAAAAACTACAGTGTTCCATCTAAAGTCAGAGAAAAATACAGTGCAAAAGTCTCAAGAAGACTCCATCTCTGGTAGTTAACCAGCAAAATGATTGGGTGGAGATATGCCACGAGTAGTAGACTACCAACTGAGGAAAAAAGCATGAGGCCAGTTTCAAGCCCAGGTACTAGTAACAGTAACCAGACCCTCAGTTCAAGCTCCTGGAACAGTACCACATATACATACAAGTGACAGGCTTCATTTGATTTTGGGGGATAGAACAGTTAAAGACATGTTACATTGGGGCTGGGAAGGTGGCTCAGTGGTAGAGTGCTTGCCTTGCATGCATGAGGCCCTGGGTGTTCAATTCCTCAGCACCACATAAGCAGAAAAAGCCAGAAGTGGCACTGTGGCTCAAGTGGTAGAGTGCTAGCATTGAGCTAAAGAGCTGAGGGACAGCACTCAGGCCCAGAGTTCAGGCCCCACAACCAACAACAACAAAAGATGTTATATTAAGTATATTTGGTGGTAAAATAAAGATACTGCCTGTGCCCTAAGTATAGTATAAGAATGAGTAATATTGTTTGGTGTTGCTTACCCTTCTAGGATTACTTTGATATTGTGAAGAGCCCCATGGATCTTTCTACTATTAAGAGGAAGTTAGATACTGGCCAGTACCAAGAACCCTGGCAATATGTGGATGACATTTGGCTCATGTTCAACAATGCATGGTTATATAACCGGAAGACTTCCAGAGTATACAAATATTGCTCCAAGCTATCTGAGGTCTTTGATCAAGAAATTGACCCTGTCATGCAAAGCCTTGGATATTGTTGTGGCAAAAAGGTAAAAAGGCTTTCAGGTCTTGGTTAACTTCTACGATGTCTAGAATATAGTGATGATTGTTCTGCTTCTGGATTTGACAGAATTCTTCCCTCCTTTTCCCACACCCCGTCTTCCCCACCTCTCACCCTTATCCTTTTTTTCCCTGTTGTATTAAAGTGCTAGGGATCAAACTGAGGGTCTCAGATGCACAATTTATTCTTATACCACAGTAGAATACTCTTTTTTTTGGGGGGGGTCAGTCATGGGGCTTGGGGCTTAAATTGAGCAGTCCCTAAGCTCTTTTGCTCAAGACTAGCGCTATACCACTTGGAGCCAGTGCACCACTGCCAGTTTTCTAGTGGTTATAGTGGATAATCAGAAATAATCAAGTCTCAACGGATTTTCCTGCCCTGGCTGGCTTCAAACTGCAGTCCGCAAATCTCAGCCTCCTGAGTAACTAGGCAAGAGCCACTGGCACCCAACTCTTTCTTAAATTTCTTTCTTTGTGCTGGTACTGGGGCATGAACTCAAGTTGTCAAGCCCACACATTTTTCATTCAGTGTTGGCACTTTGCCATTTGAGCCATACCTCCACTCTTTTGTTTTTTGATTTTTTGGGTCCAGTTGTGGGCCTGAACTCTGGGTCTGGGCGCTGTCCCTCAGCTCTTGAGCTCAAGGCTAGCACTCTACCACTTGAGCCACAGCGCCACCTCTGGCTTTTTTCTTTTTGCTTATGTGGTGCTGAGAAATCAAACCCAGGGCCTCAGGCATGCAAGGCAAGCGCTCTACCACTGAGCCACCTTCCCAGCCCCACTCTTTTTTTTTAAGGTAAAACCATACAGTCCTGTAAATCAAACCGTAGCTTAGTTATTTAAGCAAAATAATGATCTTAATCTCTCATTAATTTGGATTTAGCTCTCATTTGTTTTTGTAAATTGTCACGTAGAGAAACAGTTTAAGATTACTTTTTTTGATTTGCCTTTACTGAGGTTGACCTTAGGCATTATCAATTTGTTAGATTGGTTTTCAGAAACTGAGATATTTGTCTTTTTTTTTTTTTTTGTCTGTCATGGGACTGGATCAACTCTGGGTCTTGGGCGCTGTCCCTCAGCTCTTTGGCTCAAGGCAAGCACTCTACCACTTAAGCCACAGCACCACTTCCAGTTTTCTGTTGGTTTATTGGAGATAAGAATTTAATGGACTTTCCTGCCACCACTCACTTTGAACTACAAGTTCTCAGATCTCAGCTTCCAGAGTAGCTAGGATTACAGGCATGAGCCACCAGCGCACAGCTGTTTCATTGTTTTCATAACTGAGAACTATGACATGGTTAGCATTTCTTTCTCATCTGTGATTATATCTAATCCTCAGATCCTTTAAGATCTTTTTTTTTTGGGTCAGTCGTGGGGCCTGAACTCTGGAGGCCTGGGTGCTGTCCCTAAGCTCTTCAGCTCAGTGCTAGCGCTTTACCACTTGAGCCCCAGCACCACCTCCAGTTTTCTGCGTGGTTTATTGGAGATGAGAGTTTTCCTGGACTTTCTTGTCTGTGCTGGCTTTGAACTGCTTTGAACCGTGATCCTCAGATCTCAGCCTTCTGAGTAGCTAGGATTACAGGTGTGGGCCACCGGCTTCCTTTTACTCTTTTAACAAATGTTTTTTTTTACAGTTGGAGTTCTCTCCACAGACACTATGTTGCTATGGCAAACAATTATGCACAATCCCTCGTGATGCTACTTACTACAGTTACCAGAACAGGTAAGTTCCATCATGTGTAGATGCTGGTCCGTGTGTCCTTGTGTCTAGGGAAGTGCATGTGGCTGGACCAGCACAGATGTCATGGTTTATGTTTAAATTGCTTGAAAAACACCTGTATAACACAAGTTCTATTCTTAGGTTTTTGCCTTTCAGGAATATATTAAATTTTCTAGCAAAAACTAGCTTGGTACTAGAATTCAAACCTAGTGACTTCAAAGCATGCTAGGAAGTACTGAGTTACATCCCTGTATTGGTATTTTATAAGGAAGGAATTCAAGGAGTTGTTTTTGGAGGTTTGACCTAAGGAACTGGCTTTCCTTGAACTCCAAGGTTTAAAAGCATTCTGCCCCTTGAGCCACAACTCCACTTCTGGCTTCCATGCTGGATTTGAACCATGATTGTCACATCTCAGCTTCCTGAATAGCTTCTATTGGTGAGCCACTGGCTCCCAGCAGGACTTTTTTTGTAGTTGTTGTTTTTTAATCATAACAACCTACAGCAAAACTGAAGATTTTTCCCATGTGATGGTGGCTCATATCTGTAATCCTAGCTACTTGAGAGGCTACAATTTGAAGCATCCAGGTTTTAAGTCTTTGAGATTCCCATCTCCATAATAACTAGCAAAAAGCAGCCTAGAAGCATGCCTCCAGCACAATACAAAACAAAAGATTTGCAAATATTAAGAACTTGTAAGTAGAACTTGTTAATTCAGCTTTCCAGAAATGCTTTTAATGGAAGGGTTGAGGTTCAAGGACAGCTCAGGCATAGAAGTTAGTCCCTATCTTAACCTGCTAAGCCTGCAGCAATAGCATATGCTTGTGATAACAACTACTGGGGTGCATTGGGAGGAGGATCAGGAGGATCATGGTCCAGGCTTCCTACTGAAGTACTGAAGCTCTGTTTTAGGAAGCACAATATCCTGAGGTCAGCCTTGAGTCCATCCCCACCTCCAGATTTTTGGGTACAACCCACCCTAATTTAATGAGATTTAACAGATTAAAACAAATCCCTAGAATTTGTTTTATCTTCCATAAGCAAAATTAAAAGAAAAAATTCCAACATAAGCTGTAGTGACATAGAGAATGACAGGATACTAGGGAATGTGATACTACGTTATTTTCTCAGTGGGTTGCAAAAATGTAAATTTACCAATTGCTTAACCAGGAATCTTCCCTGCTTTCAGTAATAATATATATGTATAATATGCCATAATATACCCATGCATAGATTGTGTATTGGCGCCTCTGATATGGTAACATAAAGACTGGGTATTTAATTGCCTTTCCTTGTTAAATCCATGATGATTGTGAACTTGTGTGCTACAGATGCATTTCTAGCTTGAAAATTCATCTAAACTTTTTTTTTGTTCTATTTATCAAAAAACAACGTTTCCTGGTTGTTTATGGGCATGAAAATCCAGTTTTTGCTCTTTAAAATCTATTTTATATATATATTGTGTGTATATGTATATATAATGTAAGTAATTAGAATTTTGCTCATGTTAGAACTTTCACTTTCAAAAACTTTACCATTTTTCTAGGTTCTAGGGTTTGAACACTGGGTCTTGTCTTGCACTTACTCAGCTTGCCTGTTTGTCTGGTGCTCTGTCACTTGAAACATGCCTCCAGACTTGTTTATTCTTATTTTTGAGTTGGAGTCTCATGGATTTTCACTCTGGCCTGGATCCTTTGGATTCTGGACTGCCCATTAGCTAGTACTTAAGTCATGAGCCACTAGGACCTGACTCCATTTATTTCATTTGTTTCTTTTGCCAGTCCTGGGGCTTGAACTCAGGAACTGGGTACTGTCCCTGAGCCTTTGTGCTCAAGGTTAGTGCTCTACCATTTGAACCACAGCCCCACTTCCAGCATTTTTTTTTAGTACTTTACCTTAGCCTACTGAGTATCTAGGATTACAGGTGTGAACCACCAGCATCCTGCTTATTTCTGCATTTTAAACAGCAGGCTAAATAGTCATTTTCATGTAAAATCACACTTTTTATCATGTATTGGTTATTATAGTGCATATTTTCTTTCAATCTATGGTTATAGTCAGCATTTAACTGCTTGATGCAAACTATTCATGATTAAAAACTTTTTTTTTTTTTTTTGTCGGTCGTGGGGCTTGAACTCTGGGCCTGGGCGTTGTCCCTCAGCTCTTCAGCTCAAGGCTAGCACTCTACCA